CCCCCCCCCCGGCTGTTCCCCCTCTCGTGTTTTCGCCGCTGAGATACCCGAACTTTAGGCAGCTCTTCGCCCTTGGGCTTTTCATGCAACTTCGGCCCGTCGTCCGATGCACGAGAGAGATATGTACTCGTTGGAGACAAATTATCTCAGCGGCAACTTCACTCGAGCAAAGAAAAGCATACGTGTCTCGGATAATTGCGTAGCCTGTCGCGAATCAACAATTGGCGAATCTTAATTAGCATCATACAACTGAATAGATACGTGGTCGGTCACTAAAGGCCACGCCATTTTTCGATGAGTTTCGCAACGCATCTCGTATATTTAACGGGGAAATATATCTCCTGAGAATTACTAAGAAACAACTTCTTCTACTAGACACGAGATTGCGTTCCGAAATTTATCTGAAAAAAGTGTTACAACTTTCCTATGACTGACCATACACACTTGTCAACGGCAACAATGAAAACTTACGACGAAAATTTAGAGAGCAATGTCGAGGTAATAAAAAAAAAAAAAAAGGGGGGGAAAGAAAAGAACATCGCGAATAAAATCCGAGGAGAATCAGTGGCGATGCTGAACCGGGCGAAAGGAGATCGTACCAGCGTATTGCCGACTCATGTCGTGGGCGCTCCTGGATCCTTGGAACTTGTTATTGTAGGGCGCTCGATAGGGGTGCGCGTAGTTCTCGTTGTCGACCTCCTGCATGACGTACTTCTGATTGTTATTGCTCGGATGGTAGTGGTAGCTGTGGTGGCTATGGCGCTTCCTCGTCATCTCCGGCGACGTGACCGGGCTGTCGATGCTCGGCATCGGCTTCAGCATCCGCTTCAGGGTGTTCGAGTCGAGGCTGATGCCGCCGTTCTGCGCGTTCTCGATGCGCATGTCGTCGGTGCTCTTGCTCTTCGACTTGTGCCCGCCGTGGTTGTTATTCACGATGTTGAAGATGTTGCCGTTTTGCATCTCCAGCTCGGTGTAGTCGGCCGACTTGGTATGGTGCAGCTGCTCCTTGCGCAGCGACTTGCTCTGCAGGGTGCCGCCCGCCTGAGTGCCCTCCGACTTGAGCATCTCGGTGCCGTTCTGCTGAGTGGACGTGTCTTGGCTCTGCTTCTGAGATTTCTTTGGCGATATCGAGGAGCTCTTCTCCTCGGGGCTGTCGATCTATCGGAAAAACGAGAGGGATGAGACGATTCTCCGAAGTGGAGAAACCCGGCGGAGGAACGCGTTACGGTCCTCGCTTAACGCCCCCTCGGATTACTTCTTTTCGAACTTACCACTCGACACAGAATTCTGTTTTATACATTAATTAATCAATACGAAAGATCGAAATTATACAAAACCAACAACTCTTAATTGGCGTGGCTCATGGGATGCATGCATTTTTTCCTATATTTTGATTATGCTCGAAGATCAATTACTGGCATTAAACGAGGGAAATTTTGCCAAGTTTCTGCGCGATCGAACCGCTCTCACCTGCGACCCCACCGTGACGGTACCGATTCCGACGTTGGCAGTCTTCGGGGTCGTCTGACACATCTCGTTCTGCTTCTCCTTCTGTTTGGCCGAGTCGCCGGCCTTTGGTGTTTTCCCTGGTGTCGCGGTAGGATTGTTCACATTGTCGTAGAGGGACGCGCTTGATGTGGCTGCTGTGATTTTGTCCCGTCCCGGAGTCATCTCCATTTCCGTGGACCGCGCCACAATCCGTGGAAGCGTAGACGACCCTGAAATAGTATAAACTGGACCTAGAATGGTATATACCCCAGACTTAATGAGCGGGTCACGTTAATGAGGAATTATACAGGCATTTGCGGCGCAGTAAAAAAATTTGGTGTTAAAAACGGTCCATGGAAATTTTGCGTTACTTTAACCTGTAAGTGGACACGTGACTTTTTTGAGGAATCAAACAACTGTTGTTTATAGCTGAGATTCTCGAGTGTAATCGACACTACTTCGCTAAATCCAAAAGTAAGTGATGGAGGCGAGTTAATGAAAGCGCCAATAGCGCGGACAAAAACGAAACGGAGAAACGTTCGTTTATTCATAAGTCTGTGAGTCATTTTGACCCAACCGCGCCCACTTACAGGTCAACACGGGGAATGTGTTAAAAAGTACACAAGTATAATGTTAAATTAACATATTTACCTTGTCAACCTATGTTTTCCACGCATTCCTCATTTTATGTTAAAGTAACATAAAATTTCAGTGGACCGTTTTTAACATAAAACTTTTTACTGTAGCTTAACGAGCGTTTCTCGCGATCCCAACTTGCATCGGAGTCCATCGAGGGCTTTATTCTGGACACATATCGGACACTATATATGCTTTTCTGATTTCCAGGCTGAAGCAACATTATACGTGAAGGTGCCTTTTCATGCTGACGCTCGACGCTCATTTTTAGCGTCAAAATAGATCGCGTGATCGAAGTTATTGCTGGATAATGAAAAATGCATGATATCAAAGTAGCAGCGACGAATTTTGAACGTTATAATGTCAGTTCGCATTTCTTTCTGAAAATTATGTAATTTCGAGGTAAATATTACACGCGGTTGAGAGACTATAGAAAAAATAATACAATATAATGAGCAGCATAAAACATTTGAAAATGTTGTTTGAGAACATAATGAGCAACATAAAACATTTGAAACCGACAGTTCGTCGACGCTAGAAGCTAAATAAAGCCAAAATTATTTCTTTTGACTTTCAGATTAAAGTGTCAGATTAAAATCACGTGATCACGCTCGACGTTGCAATGATCGTCTCATGAATTAACACATTGATTCTCATATAAGAAAAACAGTTGGAAATAAAGGGACATTTCAAACCTGTATTAATATTCTCTTAAAACTAGCCCCGTGTGCGATACTCAGATCTGAATTTAGAGTTACATTTAAATCTTTCAATCGAAATCATGTAACATACGCGGCATATCATTAATAATCGAGCTTCAGCTGAAAATATCACGTCTAAATTTTCAAATAACGACCGTCAAATGTAGGTCTTATGCCCGTTTCTACTTCTACGGTTTAAATCTAATCGATTAACTCAACGAAATTGACTAATCATATTGGCCAATTAACTGAACTACTCAGTAAACAATATTTTGTATTTGTATTAAAATCCTTAAAGTTAAAGTCCTTGTTAAAATATTTGTGTTAATTTTTTAACCGCGTGTTAATTTAACATATTATGTTTATATTATCTTAGTATATATGTATATATTATATTGAATTCATGTTAATTATAATATATATGTATATATTATATTGAGTTCAACATGTGCAAGTATTAAAATAACAATATAAAGTAACAATTTATACTTCAGTATCGATTAATATGTTATGAATGTTAATAGTATGTTAATTTTTGACATAATATTTCTGTTACTTTTCAACATATTCATCTTGTACTAAATTAACACCAAAATTTGTGTGAACCGTTTTAGGCATTAGAATAACTTTTATCGAACTCTGATTAATCTAATCGATAATTTAAAACTGCTATCAATGAATTATCACCTGCTCTATTCTGCTGATGCGGGTAAAAATAATTAATTTGTCGATTATTGTGGAACGACAAATTACAGAACTGGAAATTGATGTTGGCAATTCTTATTATACTTAGAGAACATTAAGACGTTCTAAAACGTCTTTCGAGACAATAAGACATCTAAAAGACATCTCTGAGACGTCTTTTAGAAATGCATGTTGTATGCGGATTATTATTATTTCTTCTTGTTATTATTCTTCTTATATTTCTTAATTCTTATTATTAATCATCGATTTATTTAACTTGAGTTTGGTAAAAATCACCCTTAAGCGGGGTTTACAACGAGAATTTAAGACGTGAGTCTTAAGAAATTGATCAATCACAGTCGAGTGTGAAGAGAATAATCGACTGTGATTAGTCAATTTTTTTTAAGATTTAGAGCTTAAATTCTCATTGTAGACCGCGCTTTAGCGTTTGTACGTCCAAAATAAGGCCCCGGATCGCGTGTGTTCGCCGTTTTAATTTGCATTGGTAATTTCATTCGTATGGTTATTATTATTACCGCATGAATTTCGATATCTGGCATCTTGGCTACGTAGTCTAGCGAACTGTTCCGGCGTCATGCAAGTGCACTGCGGTTCTCTGGATCGGCTCGGCGAGGCCGGTGTCGACTGAGGCTTTCGGCGCGTTTTGATCTTCTGCTTGTTCGGTGGCTCGAGCTTCAACGAGTAAGAAGAGGACGCTTTCCTTGAAATCTTGAACGATGGTGACTGTATGGAAAATTAACTAGTGACTGCAAATGACCTAAGTCGGATCACGGACTGTATCGGATCTTGTGTGTCGCCCTGAACACCGTCTCTGCCCGACTTCCTCGCGAAATGAGACATTGGCGGAGACATAGGCGGGGGAGGGTAGTGATAGCGAAACAGGTTGGCACGATGTATATATAGGGAGATATAATGTAACAATATGCGTGTCGCGGGTGTAATTTCTCACTAAACTTACGCAGCATTCTCTGAATTGCTTGGCGTCTATGGGGGACGTGAAGTTTAGCCCCCACGTATCGTTTGTCACCGTGTCCTTCCAGTAGACGAAGCATTCCGACGCCTGGCCGATGCGCGTACCTTAAACGTAATCGCGCGTCGTTAATTACCGCGAGATCGTCCATCTTAATCACGCTTCTCTCGCGAAAATATTTTATTTTATTTATTTATCTGCGGGTATTTATTTACTTTATACAACGAAATGTTTGCCCATCGCTATTTATTTATTTATTTACTTATCGATGCGAAATCTGAATATCGCGAACTCTGACGCGAAAATTGCGCGAGAGTAAACGTGGCTCCTCGGATATATTTTTATTCTCAGATTAAAGCCGAGCGCTTTCCTTCGCGATCGTTAAAATACAAAATCCTGTGTACCGCAGGTTTCTACAGGAAGGACAATGTATGACGGAGTTCTGTGGAAGAAAAAAATATATTCTTTCTTTGATAAAAGGGTATAAAAAGAAATTTTTTTCTTTGACGATGCTGCGTTATAAATTATCTTCTCTATAAAAATACGCGGCACATGGAATTTTGTACTTCAACGTTCACGATGGGAGATGATCGGCTTTAATCTGAGAATGTTGCGGGATATGTTGCAATTATGGCTCACCTGGCTGGACCAACCGCACGTCTAGGATCTTATCGACCTGGCTGTTATACGCGGTGATATGGAAGACGCATTCCGGCGAGTCCTGTATACAGGTGATGTTCACCGGGACCAGATCCTCCGACACCTGCTGCCACTTGACTGTTCCAGCGCCGCTCGAGTTTACATGGAACACTTCGGCCCACAGCCTAAAAACTCTCGTCATTACATCATTGTGCTGCGGCCACATAGCAAAAACATCGACACACACCGTTTACAGGGGAAAGTTCTAAGAGGAAATATGAGAAAATAGAACAGGAAACTCGCGGTATGAAATGAGAGAGAGAAAGAAAGAGAGAGAAAGAGAGAGAGAGAGAGAAAGAGAAAGGAAGGATAAGTAGAACACTTGTAATTTTGAGAAAGCTCTTCGTAATTGTTCCTCGTAATAGACACAATACTTCCGTACGACGTGACTCGTAAAAGGATATCGACGTATCTCATAATTGATAACATTTCAAAAATCGTCGCATGCATCAATAAGAAATCGCATATGCATATCGGGCCAATCAAAGTGGGTTCGATTACCAATAGCAGTCACATATATTTAATTTGATCGAGAAGAAGATGGAATTATGGCCTTTGCTGATATTACGTCCCCCTTTAATATTTCCACTATTAGATGGCGAATTCTAAAGATTATATATATATATATATATATGCCCCTCATTACATCATCGAATCTTATGCATCAAATTAAATCGGATTAGATCGAAAAACTGTGCTAAGAATACTAATAATCATGCGAAGCGTTACGTGTACAGGTGAAAGTGTCAAGTAAATAGTATATCTGTGTAAGAATGTGCATACACGAGTATACGGAATTAAAGAGGGCGGCGATAATACCAAGAATACAACGTGACCGTGAGGATGCTCGACGTAATGTAAATTCTATTCTATCGCTTTTATTTCGCTCGATCGCAAATTCAATCGGAATCTAGGCCAAACTCAGCGCAAACCAAGCAACGGAAATTATCACAATTATCGGCCGCGAAAGCAGGATTTTCTATTTCGCGTTCCTTATTTTACGCGACATTATGTTTGGATAGACAAGCAAAATCGCGCTGATGTTACCCGACGTTGCTTCTCAGAGTTAACTAAGCGTATATCGCGATATACTGGTAAGAAAAACGGGCTAGAGCGGCTCTCTGATGAATGGACCACCAGCTTGATTGACCGCGGAAAAAAAGGTAAAAGACGGAAAGCGAAAGGAAGGTGAGGGTTAAAGACGTAAGCGCGAGCAAATAAGATAGCGAGGAAAAGAGGCAGCGAGAGAGATAAAGCGAGCTAAAGGTAGGAGAGAACGAGTGAATAAGAGGAGCGCGCGAGACAGCCTGGGTAACGTGAATAAAAAGTGACATTTGATTCCGCGCAAACCGACGTTCGACATATAAATCGTAGAGAGAGAGAGAGAGAGAAGCGTATCATATAGTTTTCTTTCGCCAGACGTTGCAAAATAAAATATAAGCCCCGATCGCAAAATACTACATTTTTCAATAAACACTTGAGAGCACCTATTAAAGTAAGATCAAGGGTGTTATCGACGAGGCGGAATATTTAGTTTTATTTCGTTAAGTCTGCGGTATGTTGATATGATTTTCCCACGCAGAAAAGAAACAAAACAGGACAATTGTCGATCGATTTTCTTACGTAGCTACATTGATTAACTTTGCAGTTTCTTTCTCAAGTCGTCGTTATGCAAAGTTTAATTACACTCTCGGCGTCACCTCCTCCGCTCGTAATTACCGCCCAAAACTGATCATCGAAATCGATGAACTGGAAACTTTCATTCTCGTCGCCCGGCTGTACAGTGGTCTGAGGTTGTATCTTGAATCTCTGGGTATATAATACGCTAAAAAACGCTAATAACTTCACATTATATTGTGTATTTCTTATTTTCGTAACGAAATAATAACTTGATTTGTGACTGAAATAAGCATAATCTTACGATAGAAAAATGTTTCTTGCCAATATCTCAGGAGAAGTTTTAAAAGCTTCTGAAAAATCTACAGTTGCGTAATAATCGTCAACATTAGTAAAAAAATGAAGTTATTTTCATCTAAAAAGAAGTGAAATGAATGTTGAATCACTTAGCAGTTGCGTGTCTCTTTTAAAGACATTTTCTGTGTATAAAAAATCATTTTCATCAAAATCCAAAGTTTTGGTAAAAAATTTTTATTTTCAGACCACTGTGCACTGCTGTCGTCTCTGCTGCTGCATATCTTATATTCATGCTGCCGACGAATATCAAGAGCAAAGCGAAAAAAGGAGACAGAAAGGGAAAGAAACGAAAGAGCAGAGAGAGAGAGAGAGAGAGAGAGAGAGAGAGAATCAGTATAATGCATACAGTCACAAGAGTGTACGAGTGGTCATCGAAGAGAAAGAGTGGTAACATGGTCGAATGGAGAGTGATTCAATGGTTGAATGGTATGGTATGCGCACCTCTTCCTCTCTCTTAAGCTTCCGCACCTGAGCAAGTGGCCAGTGTCACCCCTGCGCCCTCCGCCGCCGCCCATCCCGCCCCTGGCACCGGCCTGCCATGGGGAGTCCTCGTAGCGATACGTCTTTCTGATTAGGGGTGCGCAACTGCAGGACAGCTTGTTGCCCATTCTAACTGCTCTTATTCCGGCTTAGATCCCGCCGCTCTGCGTCACCACCGCCACGAGAAATCACCACCGCCGTCGCCGCCACCACCACCACCCCCTCCTCCACCTCCTCCTCCCTCCACCACCCTCTGCTCGTGATTCCCGCCGGCTTCGTGTTTCCGGCTCGGCGCGGATCCTTAGCTCGGGCGCGCTCTTGTGGCCGCACGTATCCGCCCGTTCTTTTCCCGTTCCTCGGGATAAAATTCTGGCCTGATCCCACCTCTCTGCTCTACGCAGCTATGTACATATATCTTTCTCTCTTCCTCCCTCTTGCCGCCTGTGTGCCGTTCTATCTCTTCTCCGTTCCACCCTCTTCGATTCTTCTTTGACACAGTTTCGCGGGCTTGGCTCTTGCGGCTTGTCCGTGTCGACTTTTGGCACCGATTTCCTCGCGCCGACCACGGCCGGCGGTTTGGCGTTGCTTTTTTGCGCGTGATCTCCGGCTCGCGCGTACGTGTATATACGTGTGTGCGTGCGTAGGTGGGTGGGTGGGCCGTGTGCGTGTGTATGTGTGTGTGTTCTTTTTCTTGGGAAGCACTGTGCGATAGGGACGATCCCCAAGTTATTAGAGAGTAGAAGGAGGTATCTTTATTGTCACATCATTGCAGGCGTCGAAAGTCATCAGCTCGTCCCTGGCATGATCGCTGCGAACAAACGTGAGACGATTAGCCGGGAGTAACGTGCTCGAATCTCGAATCGAGCGAATCGTGTCGTGAAAGAAAAGAAAACCGTGTGTATATGTGTGTGTGTGTGTGTGTGTGTTATCGCTTAGAATCACGATTTATATAAGTAGGCGCGGCAGCAAGAAAGTGGTGAGTAAAGCCTGCGCTTGAGCAGACGCGCATTACGTAAATTCTCTCGGTCGTTTATTATAATTAAATTTACATACTCGCACGGAACATTACCTCGAGACAAATGAATGGAAGAGCGATAAAAAGTTGCACGAGACGCCTCAGGAAAAGAAATTACGAGAGCCTCTGCTCTTGGAGCGAGTGAGATTTAACACGTTCCATCCCAGGTGGATCAGAAAATCACAATGGCGTTAAGATAACGAGAAAATAACTGTAAAAACTTTCTTTTCGATCATTTTCATCTCAATATAATTTTCTGTTTTATCCGGGGTGCCACGTATACAATCGGCAATACGATCGGCGTCATGTTTGTTGTACCATTCATTAGACGGGGAGTTACATGATTTTCAACTTTATATATAACGCATAAGATTGAAAATCGCAAAAGTAATTTTAGTTGTGATGGCTCTGGTTATAGTCATTTGCAACTTATGTGTAATATGTGGAAGAGTATTATGTGAAAGGTTAAAAATTGTGTAACAATAAAAAGTTTTAATCTAGAGAACGGCGCGTTATATATAACGCTGACTATACATGCTAAACTTTCCGTTTAGGGCATCTATTACGGGATTGTTCGGAAAAGTTTCCGATCGGAATCATTCATTTATTCCCTAGAAAACAATAGAAATCTAAGAAATAATTGAGCGATTTTGATGGAAAACCTTTCCTATAAAACATTTCTATAATAAGCGCCCAGGCCCAGATTTGATTCAGTTTCGTTTAGGCCATTTAAGAAACAGATTTTTCATATCCAACTATGTATAATCATGTATATTAAAAGACATTAAAAATGCTTCGCCCAGAGAAACCTATCTTAAGCTTTAAGTTACAGGACACAGGATTCCTCCTGGCCTCAATAATATACGATCGCATGACTTATTTCGAACCACTATCCTGAACCCATGGTTGTTTTGCCAACTGGAATCACTTGGTATTCTGTCTCCTTGTTTACCAAGTTTCAACCCAATCCGATATGTCTTTCTGGGTGGAGCATTTTCAACGCTCCTTAGCTTATCATCATATATAACCACGTAAAATCATATAGAAATATATAAAATTATATATAATTTCTTATAGAATTATATATAATTTTATATGGCTCGTTTGAAGGAATCAGGCAACATCATACGTATAATTATTACGTATATTCGTGTAAAAGTATATATAATCATATGAGGAATTATATATAATTTTATATATTTTTATCCGATTTTATATGATTATATCTGATTATATATGATCATATATGATCATATATGATTATATGTGAAAAATTTGGTATCAGGTAATTCGGTATTCTAGCTTCGAAATGAGATGTAAATCGAAAACGAAAAACTTTGGCACTTATTATGAGAGACACACGTTATTTGCTCGATAAAATTTCGCACATAACGAAATAACGTAGACCACCAGTCCACGAAAAGTCACGTAAAATCAGTCTGGCACGGGACGCGTCGAGGAATGTCTGACCATAGTCGCGCTGTAACCACTTAGCGCGCCGCCACCCTCCAACCTGCGCGCGCGTTACAGCCTGGGTTTTACTCGCGCATATTTGCCGGATTATTTCTATGAACTAATTTATAATATCATGAACACCGATCAGCTTCGGCGACGTCGATGGGGATCAATTAAACTCAGACGGAACTAAATCCGTCTCAGGTGAACTTTGGCCAAGATATCACCGCTCACGACCGAACCGCCGAATGTTCAACGTTCACGATCGACTCGAATCTCGAGAACGGTGGTTCTCGTTACGGCTTCATTCACCTGCGAGCGACGGTGCGTACTTTCGCAACGTGCTGCGGATCGATTATCGTGAGTCGCAAGCGCGATCTCGCTGTAGCTTGTTCGGCCGAAGCCGTCACCGTCAGACGGGGCGAGGGATCGGGGAGGTCAACAGCGCGCGCGAGGCATTGTGCAGATGTGTCGTGGATAATAAAAGGGGTAGCGCCACCGGAGGGTTACTGAACCGCCCCGCTCGGACGGCGCGTAATACATCATTTCTTCGGGGATGCTCTCTCGACAATGCCGAGACGTATCCCGGGCTCTCTCGGAACGTTCATCCCGCACATCCATCACCGGCTGGATACGGCCGTGCTTCAAGCGTTCTCGCGGGAACGGCAACCGTCAACGTCAACGAAGTTGGCTGATTTTCAAGCGTGTGCTCACCATTCGCCGCGGTAACATGTAAAATTGGCACGCGAACAATCTACCCGACCGTCTGTTGTCGCGGTATTAAGGCCATTCTACAATGGCCGCTAAGTGGTAGGCTAAAGTATAACTCGAAGTCCGTGAGACGCGGTCGCAAAGATTTGTTTCCGATGTGGCAGACAATGTAACCCTTTGTCCACAATCTTGCTTACGTCTTAAAACAAGATTACGGACAAAGGATAAGTCCCAATCTACAAGTATTCTAAGCTTTGAGAAACTGACCAATCATAGTCGAATGCGAGGAGAATAATGGTCTGTGATTGGTCAATTTCTTAAGTCTTAAAACACAGTTGCAGACCGGGACTAACGCCGGATCTATAAAGCTATGTCTACATTAGGTTCAGTAAACCGTGAGAAATTGATCAATCACAATCGATTATTCTTCTTATATTCCACTGTGATTGGTCAATTTCTTACGGCTTAAGGCTTACTACACCTTATCGTAGATATCGCTAAAATGGAAAAAATTAATTTTGTTTCTTACGCTTTACGACCTCGCGTCGACCAATTAGAACGAAACAAGACGTTAAAACTCTAACCTTCCTCTTCGTGATTGGCCTGCTTTACGTTTTGCTGTAAACTACTGTAATATTGCAGACAGCACCGTTTTAAGAATACTAAATTCTACGACTTTCAGCTAAATGCTACGGACTTAACTGTTACGGCCACTGTAGAAGCTTTTAGTCTTCCTCGTAATTCCAAGCGTCATTTGGATGGTCGTATAGTGAAAAATGAATTTGGTTGGATTTACCTGGCAGCAACAACCAAACGCGTTTTGGTTAATGAAAACAGAATTTCCGCTTGTAAAAACCAAATTTGATTCACGAAAGATGATTAGACATTTTGTTTCCTTCAACCAAAGCGCTTGGTTTGATTGTCCCTTGCCAGATCCAAACCAAACTTCTTCTGTGCACGCGAGTATATTCCCGATAGCACGTGAAAAACGTAAGCAGTAAGACAGAAGCAGTGAATAAATTGATCGATCACAGTCGATTATTCTTCGACCGTAAATGGAAGAACCGACTGTGATGAATTTACTTACTGCTTACGTTTCACTGCATATGTTTTTCTGCCTGCCACAAGGCCATGAGCAGTAAATAAACTAACCAATCACAATCGACTATTCTTCTTATGCTTTAAAAATAATCGACTATGTTTGGTCGGTATCCTTGCTGCTTAAGTTTTTCTATATGCTCTCGACCTAATTATCAAGAAGCTCGCCTTGTAATTATAGTCAGCGCAATGTACACACGCGTTAGGTATTCCAGAGACACTTCAGATACTTCTTTCGATCGCCACTTGGTTCGTAACGGGGAGAGGAGGATAAGTCGAGACACCGGCAATCACCCTGGACTGTCCGTAACAAAGGCAGATCGTTAATTAAGAGGAATAAGACTCCCGCTCGGCGGGATTGAGTTTCTCCCAGCGGCGATCCTTTCGTCGTAAGGGCTCGGCGAATTGATCGGCTGGCCAGCCGGTTTTCTCTGTCTCCCTCTTTCCGAGCCAGCGACCGAGCCGAAAGCGGAAACTTATTTTCAGAGACTGGCGATTGTTACCTAAGCTTTTTACATCATCGGGCCTTGTTCCGGGCTAAAGCTGGATTCAGAGGCGACGCGTGTATGCCGCTTAATTGGACGAGAGGCCGCGATCAGAGAGGATAAATGTCAAACGGTGCGTGGCACCATGTGACCGGGGTCTCAAAGGATTAATTATGGGCGACGGAGACGGTGGAAAATCGCGGCGGTGTGTCGTCTGTCGTCTGCGAAAGTCACAACAACGTCGCCGCCGTCGTCGTCGTCGGCACGCACGAGCGAGTCGAGAACGATATATCGGGACGCGATCGGGGACGGGAGTTTGCGTGAATCATCGGCGAGCCTCGGCGACAACACGATAATTATGATAAGCGTGGGCGTAGCGTCGAAGGGAGACAGACGTAGGCACAGAGCCTTAGTGAAG